AAGAGCTTGAGTGCCTCTCTGAAAATGCCGAGACGGCATGGGAGGTGGCTGAACATGAAAAGAAGCGAGCTCCTGAGGCCGAAGCCAAAGGAAACCAAGTGTTTCTAGAGTGAGGGGCGTTACAAGATACTCTGAAAGTTCAGTAAGCTAGATGGCAAGGTGAGTGCAGGTAGACATGAGGTCAACCGCATTGGAAGGCTCCAAGCGCACTGAAGAAGAGGAGCGGGTCATTTTTCAGAATTGCTACTGTGATAGGATCTTTCTTGGGAAGGACAAGCAAACCAGCGTACATTTTTTCAATGCAAACATAGGTAAAAATTCAACAATGCACCTGGCTTTGACTCCAGATGCTGGAAAGTTCCAAGACCCCACAAAAAATTTGAGCATGGAACCCGTGCAACTGGAATTACTGACAAGCGCTTTCTCAAAAGACTTGAATTCCATAGCAAGAATCGAGGCAGGCTTGAAGAGCTCATTTCCAACTTCATTGCGAACACAATATGCCCACCTTGCCTAAGCTGTCGTGAAACCAATACTGGTACCTAAAGTTGGCAGGATGTATACACTCAAACTGCTCCACTTCAGCATGCGGATCCACAACAAGGATTCCAGGTACTTCTTAAAATTTCTCGGTGGAAGTACAGCCATAAGGTGGGGTGTTCTTGGATGAGAGACTCTTCGAGCAAAAACACAAGGGCTGGTTCTATACTTTTCTTGGTTCTTCTTTTGGTTGATGGTGGAGGCAAAAAGGCGCGAACCTTCTAAGCGAGGGGGTGGCTCTTGCCGCTCAAACTTTTATTTGGAGTTCCCCTCGAGCTGGCAGACTTTGATGATTTGCAAGGCAGTGGAACCTTTTGCGCTCAGACACTCAGGCCACCAAGAGATGTCACCATGTTTCTGACAACAGCAGGCAGTATGGCGCTGTCACAACGCGCTGCGATGCTGTCAGGAGTTGCAGTTGGATCCTGAGACATCCACGTGGACAAAGTCCACAGAGTGCTTGCCTGACAGGACCAACGTAAAGCATAACAGAACTGCAGCCAGAATTGATTCCACGATGGCAATCGCTTCAGGAGCCTGGCAAACTCCTCGACATGCCCGGGCCGAGGCCAAGTTTGCATCCAGAAACAAACCAGTTTTTGTTCAAACCTTGAAGGTCGAGGATCTGGAGGACGTGGAGGAGATTGAAGATGACGATGATGAAGTTGACCTTGATGCAGACCCCAACTGGCCCAAAGTCAAGCAGGACCTTGCGCAACAGTGTTTGTGGACAAGACAAAGTATTGAGCTTGAGTACAGCTTGCACTTTCTTGCAGGACATGGTGAAAATCTGGAACATTCGATATGAGGCAGGCGGCCTTCATGCATGCCTCCTCACAGATTCAACATGTAGTGACAATGTAGTGACGCACAAAGGCATGCCTGGCCCTTGCAGAGCGAACATTTGCCTATTGCGCAAACTTGTACAACTTGAAAATAGCATATGCTATGGATTTGCGTCCATTTGTTACGAGACTGTCCACTGAGTCAGAAGATTGGCTCCTCGCCGATGACGTCAAGGTCAGATGTGTAAAGGAAGCACACTCAAAAACAAGTTCTAATTGCCTTATAGCAAAAGTCAGCCCTTCACCTCAGAGTCGCTTTTCTGATCACGTCACCCACAGGGACTCATGGATGAGCACTTGCAGAGTGTGGTGGGTTGCCTTCTCAATGTGAAGCAGCTTTATATCTTGATCGAGAATGTATTGCTATCAAAGACTTGCTGCTTGTGGTTCAACTTTTTCGTGTCAAGAGTGCAAGCAAGGCAAAGCAAATTACCTTGACATGGAAGAAACATTTGTTGAGGCCACGGTTCCCAAACAAGATGCGCGCAGAAATATCTTGAGTGTGCTAGGTTGCTGAAGATGAACCTCGACCAGGAGAAATTAGCAGGGAAGATTTTTCAGAAATTGCAGGAATTTATGTTTACAATGCCTTATACACATCATGAAATCATGCAATTTACAAAAGATTTAAATATTATAAGATGTTATATATTATAATATTATTATTGGATATATTATATATATATAATGACGATTTGGAATTAAAAATGATTTTATATTTTCTAAATGAATATATTATATAAATTTAAAATAATCTATAATTTTTAATTCTTAATTTTTATTGGTGCAAATGCTGTGGTAGCACGAGGTACGGACGCACGAGGTTCCGGACCGTGGTGGGGGTAGACCGCTCGCGAGGTCGGTCTTTTCTCGTAAGCGGTCGGTTGTAAGTCGCGGCCCTCCCTGGTTTGAGACGGCGGTGGTTGGAAACATGAACGGCCTGAAACGATTGTATGGCATGTAAATCACATAGGCGGAGAAGGAAAAAGAAAACACAAGGGCCGTTTAGCCTATTTTTGTCCTTTAGGGACAAATTTAGCAACCCGCGTTGTCGTAGACCAAGGGCTAAACCAACCCTTGCATCCAAGGTGGGAGAAAAAGCTCGTTTCTGGTCCGAGCTTTATACAAAACGGTTCCGTGGTGGGCTAGGAATATGCCGATGTTAATAGCTAAGGTCTTCTGTGTGTTCGGGTGCAATCGATTTGGCGTGATGTCTGTCGATGTAGTGCATTATTCATAGGATCCCTCTCCATGGGCCTGATTGAATAGAATGCGGTAATCCGGTCGAAGATGCTAAACACGGCCTCGAGGAGCGATGAAGATTTCGTCCTTGATGGGACAGATTTGAACGTGCTCGTTGAACTCTTTTATGGCCCTGTCCAAAATGGCTTTCGCATCAGCCAGCGCAGCTCGGCTTTCCGATTCCATGGCTAGGCGGCGACCAGTGACTTCCTCCTCGGTGAGAGGAATTCTAGTGATGACGTCCCTTTCGAAGAACGTAAGTCATTTTTTAGCAGCTCTGAGACGGTCTTTGGTGAGGGCGAGTTCTTTTCCTTATAGATCCATCGCGCTTCTAAATTCACGATTGGCCACTTGGCATTTATAGGTGCGTTGGTGTGAGAGGTCCATGGAGGCCACAGCTTGGTCTTGAACGCTAAGGGTCTCAGCGACAGATCGTTCGAGGTTTCGTATTTTCTTGAGGTAATAGCGGCGAGTAAACTAAGCGCCAAGCACAAAGGCGGTTAGTAGGAGGACCACCGTCTGTAGTAGCGGCCACCGCTCCTCGGCGGCATGCGTCTCATTCGAGACCGGTAACGCGGCTGCAGGAGATATCTTGAATAGCGCCATTCGCGCTAGGAAACCATAGCCACGGCTAGCGGCACGAGTTCGAGTCCTACCGGGGCTGCAACTGGTTGCTTCGATCGCTTCGCGAGCGGCAAACTGTTTAGTGCTGGTGCTCCGGCTCTCGAGTTCGGCTTGCTTGTCTATGGATGGTGTTCCATCTTTTGTTGTTTGTTGTGGGCCTTGCGTGTTGGTTTGGTGTTTGTTGCGTGGGTTGTTGCGTGTTTTGGTGTTTGTGAATTCATGCTGATTGCTCCATCTGTTTTCCACCGTTTTTTTTTGGCGGCCACATACTCAGGGTCCCAGGTGTACTTGATCGCTCCATGTCTCAAGCGATTAGTCAGTAGCTGTCGAGCTGACAACTTGGTGAGTCCATCACCATATTAGCGTTCTGAGGAGACCCATTTCAGCTTGCCACCGAAGCTCTCGACTTGTTGTCGAGTGACTTTCACTTCCAAGGCGGTCCGCTTGTCGTTGGACCCGTGGTTGAAGGCGTCACGGTGGTAGGTGTCGTACAGCGCTTTTGTGTCTGTGATGAGCACTGGCTGTAGCGATGAGTTGTCCATGGCCAAGTTGGTCTTTAAATCAAGTCCTGGGTTTATCAACTCATTCCAGAACCTGACAATGAACTCAACACTGTCGGCTGCAGTTCCTGCGGCTTGTGCTTCTGCTGCCAGGGATGAGCGTGCAACACGTGGTAGCTTGAAGGATTTCCACTCCAAAACATGGTATGGCGTTTCAACGCCCTCGAAGGCTTGTTTGTGCGTGAGCAGGCATAGAAATCCACCTTGGCTGCTTCCATCATGTCGAACTCCGTGAGCAGCATCGAACATGCAAGATAGCCTGAGGTCGTCAAGCTCTCCTAGTGGAGGGTACTTCAGGACCGAGTCGCTATTTTGCTTGGCGAACTTCAGAAGACGATTAGCTTCGACTATAGGTGCAGCTAAATCGGTGACCATTTCTCCGCCCAGCAACGATGTGCTTGCTAGTAGGTGTGGGCTGCTCTGCACGGCTGGCCATTGAAGGCTTCCGAGCAGTCCGCGAAGAAGGCTCTGCTCCTTTGGTGTCATCGGAGAGTGTGTTGGTCTCCCCTTTTCCATGGTCAGCGGCTTGATCTTCTGGAGGTACTTTTCATGGCTGACCACCCAAGTGCCATTGGTCTCACGGGACATGTTGGCACCACAGTACTCAAAGGATTCATCTTGTTGCCATGTTCTGAAGTTGAACATTGTTTTGATCTCTTTCTCCATGTGCTGGTAGGTCTCCGACTGAAGATCTCCACCTCCCAACATGTCGTCGACGTGAAGACATAGGAGGCCGACCAGCTTTTGAGACTAAGGCTCAAACAACATCCAAAAACAAGGGTCGAGCGAGTGTTGCTTCCAGCCAAATTTTCGAAGCCTGGAACTGGCCTCGAGGAACCATCGCCTTGGGGCGTCAAGCTGGCCATAAACAGGCTTGTGCAAAAACATGCGGGTGTCGGAGTCGGCTCCAAGGAGTGCCAAGGCGTCAGCTGGCAGTTTCACCCAAAGCTTTCTTTCCTGCGATAGTCCTTGCAAAAAGGCTGTGGAAACATCGGCGGACCAACCAATCCATCCCAAACAACTGCTGAGGCTCAGGAACAAGGTCTTGCCAAGTCTCGTGGATGCTGGTGAAGCTGTCTCCAAGGATCCTGCAAGTGCGTCCACGTCGGCATAGCCTCGAACAACTAGTCGAGCCTTGGCTCTTGGCGAGCCGTCAGCATTCTTGCTCCACTTGAGCAGCATACGACTGGTCAAGGTGCGCTCTGGTGATGCTTCCTTTGTAGTCTGCAAGGACCAAACGCCATTCTGGAAAAAGGATGAAAGCTCCTTTTGTTTTGCAGCTTGAAACAAAAGGCGGTGCTCCAAAGACAGTTCTCGTTCCTTGATCTCGCTCTTGTTCTTTTGGATCTTCTTGTTGGCTGCGGCTCTTTGTTTTCGACCAAGTTGGCGGGCGTCTTGAACGTCATGTGAGGTCATGCCCATCTCTTTCCTGGTTTCACCATTCACTTGGAAGATGGTCATCCCAGTCCAGGTCTGTTGAGAAGGCTTTCCATTGCCAGTCTGGATGAAGTCGGACTCTTGGTGTAGCTGGCTTCCGACGCGTCGCACTGTGATGCGAACGTCGTCCAGGCGGTCCACCGGTAGCGGCAGATGTGCCATCTCCCGTCCAGTCATGGACTGAGGACTGAACTTTGTTCTTCTCGGTACTAGGTGGTACCTGATCAAACAACCGGCTCTAAGCTCCCAGTAGTCCTGGTTCGGGGAGTCCATTGTGATGTAGCCGTTTTCGATGTGCCAGCCAGGCGGGAGTAGTGAGCAATCCAGGTCATCCAGCTCGAAACAGCAACCTTCCAACGGTTCAGATCCTGTGGCTGGCTTGTCGTAGGGGCCAGCTCCATGCACTGCTTGTGAGGAAGTGCGTTCTGTATCAGGTTCTGTGGGTGCTATGAATGCTCGTGCTCGGCGGTTGCCGAAAGAGATGGTCTCTTGTTGGTCGAACCTGTTGCGCAGCAGTTGGAACGTTTCACCTGGTTGTGGTACTTGATATAGAGCAGCTGTTGCTGGATCAAGTGTTGGTGCTGGAGGTCGTGCTGGGATTCGTGCAGCGCTTGTGGACGGCGGTGGACTTGGCTCCTCAGAGGGCTCATTCTGAGAGGGTGTTGGAGGTGCTGAAGGTGGTACTGCCGGCAGCTCAGCATCTGGGATATCTGCCAGTGGCTCGGGTGTTGAGCGTTCTGGAGGTAATGCCAATGGCTCTGGTGCTTGTGGCTCTTCAGCCTGTTGTTGATGCTGGCTGTGTGCTGGTGAGGTCGGTGAGTACTCGGCGGTATCATCAACTTCAACCATGTCTGTGTCGCCAGTTGGTCGTGGCGGTGAAGCGACCTGTGGCGCACCAGCTGGTGCATTGAGTCGGCGACGCTGTAGTGGTGGTTGTGTGTGCTCCTCCTCTTCTTGTTCCAAGTCTTCGCCTTCCTCCTCCGACTCCACATGTTCAAGTCGCTGGCGGTTGACCACATTCAAGTCCAACATACGTGTCACTCCACGACTTCGAAGTGCGGCCATATCTCGCTTAGCGAGCTGGAGTCCCTCGATGAGGGTGCTGGTGTCTTGTTCAATGGCCGGTCGGAGATGGTGAGGTGCACATCGAAGGAGTTGTGACTTGTGGCTGATCCAGTACAATTGTGGTCGGCCTTCGCTATCGTCTTCTCTCATCAAAACACGAGCGGGGCCTTTCCAGCGAATCTTGACAAGGTCGGGGGCTCTGGCATCTCTCCAGTAGAAACATAGTTGACCTGGTTGAAACTGAGCACTGTTGCCAAAGTAGCGACGAAGGAGTCCACGTCTGAGCTTGCGATCGACATCTGTCTGGATGATGGCCATTCGGGCAATTGCTCGCTTTTGCAGTTCTTCTTCAAAACCCTTGGAGCCCTCGAGATGTAGTGGTGAAAGTGCAGTATTCAGAAGATCTCCAGGGAATTGTGGCTGTTGTCCAAGAAGCCATTGTGAAGGACTGTAACCGCTGGCATTGGGCTGTGCGTTCAACTGAGGCACAACATAGATGAGGCTTTCACGGACAGCGTTACCTCCTTCTTGGCCAGTTTCCTTGAGATACAGCTCACAGCTTTTGCGAAGGACTGCATGGCGTCGTTCAACAAGGCTCAGGCGTTCGTGAGCTTCGCCTGGTGCAACAGTGTGCTGGATGGAGTGCTCGTCGGTGAAGTTGGTGAAGTCGTCGGACA